AATAACAATAACAATAACAATAACAATAATAATAATAATAATAATAATAATAATAATAATAATAATAATAATAATAATAATAATAATAATAATAATAATAATAATAATAATAATAATAATAATAATAATAATAATAATAATAATAATAATAATAATAATAATAATAATAATAATAATAATAATAATAATAATAATAATAATAATAATAATAATAATAATAATAATAATAATAATAATAATAATAATAATAATAATAATAATAATAATAATAATAATAATAATAATAATAATAATAATAATAATAATAATAATAATAATAATAATAATAATAATAATAATAATAATAATAATAATAATAATAATAATAATAATAATAATAATAATAATAATAATAATAATAATTTTTGGTAATTAGAGAATTTTATTACCAAGCAAATATCACTATAATAAAAAGGAAAAATTGTGCATTATATCAAACTATTAATTCAAAATAAATATTATAGCTACAGTTTCATTTAATTTCAATTTGCAACAAACTTCTTGTCATTCGCCCCTCTCCCCTCTCTGTGGAATCTCGCTCGCCACTCTCCTCTTTTCCAGTTATCTCTCCCTCGCCTCTCTCACTTTATACAAACACAAATGTATAACTTATGTTTGTATTTGTATAAAGCGAGAGAGACTATATATACAAATACAAATACATGTTTCTCCATCATATACACATAATTATACAAATACAAATTTCCCATGCCCAGTTCTCTTTTGCCTTTCTCTCTCTATGTCGCTTTATACAAACACAAATTATGCAAATACAATGTATAATTCGTGTTTGTATAAAGCGAGAGAGAGATTTTATATACAAATACAATTTTTTTTAACTCGATTCAATTGTATACGAATTCAAATTTTATGCAGATATACAAACACAATCATTGATACATATACATAGTAGTTACATATACACTTATTTAACCGATATACATATACAGTTCACCTCTCTCCACTTTGTGCTCTCTCTTGCTCGCCTCTCTCATCTCTCTCTCCCAATCTCACTCGTCATTCTAGCCTAACACATAGAACATATACATATACAAACACAATTTTCATAGACACAGACGAATTAGTGTCCGATTTATACAAATCGCCGTAATTTATACAAATCAGATGCTCCATAACAAACATAATTTGACTATGGAGCGCAAATAACAAAACCGTAGCTATAGAGCGCTAATATGATTTTTATCTTTGCTATTTCTAAAATTTACTTTAATAAAAACAAGTTTTAGTGGCAATAAATATACACATTAACAAAGAATGCTAAAGATTTTATGGGCATTAGTTAATTGTTATTGTATTCAATGTCGCTATTGGCTTTAGAAACACTTATAAAGAGCGCTAATTACCACTAATTATAGCGGCTAAAGATCATTTTTTGGCCTAGTATGTATATCAAATAACTAAAAGACTTGGTACATATGCCCCCAACACCAGTCTGCCAAGCATATTTGCAACATCCCATCATAAAACATATTTATTTAAATTGTGTTAATGTGCATTCTGGTTAACAAATAAACTTTTTTCATATCTCACTAAATATCTTCTTCTTTTTCAATATTTACATAATAATTTTTTATTCTTGTATTTCTTTCAAACTTATTCAAAAGATTTATTGAAAATAATTTGTATATCCTACAAAGTACTGGAGATAAGGTCTGTATACAGTATACACCGATCTGCTCTTCTCATGTCCCACTGATGAGACTATATTAAATACATTATATATAGTTCTTGTTATAGTATGACAGTTAATTATTTTCTCTTTAAAAAGAAGTTCACAAGCACATGTTTCACCCTTTCAGGTAAAGTTGTCCTTCCAGAATAGTTTGTTATTTGGGATTCTAACATGAAATCTGCATATCATGATTATTATTGTGATTCGTGACTTGACGTCCTTAAAAGGGACATATATTGTTGATTTTCACCCTTTAATGTCAAATATTTAATCTTTGGTACCATATTTTTATAACTCGTCTCTAAGACGAGTAATATTTAAATTAAAGAGAGGCTTCAACTTTGTATCATTATATGATGATTTTTCTATTTTAAGTATAATTTCCAAATCACTTTAATTCCTCTTTTTTTTCAATTGAATATTGATTAACCTTTAGATAAAGAGTATAGCATTAACTATGGTTTGTGGAATTGATGGAAATAACAATATTTAGATGTTACGTACTCCCTTTTTTTTTTTGGTAAGATCAAATTAAGTGTTGTGCGACAAGTTCGATTGGAAAACGTTTTTTTTATCTTCATTCCTTTGTAACTGTGATTTTTTAATTTTCAAAAATGGCTGAAGTTGAAGATCCGGACCCTAATTTCCATTTTAGTAAAATAAAAAATTCATTTTATTCTTCTTTGCCAGGTATATTCCAAAAGTGAAACAAGTAGAGTGCAATTAACTTCAATTAAAAAAGACATGAACAATTTCTGAAGCGACTCTACTTAATTGATTTTGTAGTCTTCTACAAATTAATTTTAAATTTTATGTGTTTTTAGAATAAAAGATTTTTATATTTTACATATAAGACATCTCAAATAATATGTATGAGATCTCTGAAAAAATCATTTTTTATTTTAAAATTGTACAAGTGACCATAAAAAAATTATTTCCTCCTTTCTTTCTACGATTAGTTTAATAATTGAAGTGCGGAAGCATAAGCTATAAAGAAACAATAAATTAATTAGTCCCGTCTTTATCTTTTTTCCTTTTTAAATGAGCTACCTTTTCTAAAAGTACATAGAAATAATTGTAATCACAATATGATAAATATATCTCAAAATATTTCATATGTCATAATGCAAGAGGAATCAATTAGGTATACATATACTTATAGCACCATATATATAAAGTGGGGCTAACCCATCGGTGGCCCCCTAAACTTGGCACAATCTTTCACTTAGACACCTCAACTGAAGGATTTTCATTTTAAACACTTCATATCGCGTCTCGTTGTGTCATTTTGACACTTTTTGCTGACTAAGCATAGTACGTGTGCTACACAAATTTTGAGCGCGTCAAAGACTTTTTTAAAAATATTCTGAATTTTTTTGTAAATATTTTCTTCTCCTTCTTCTTCCTTGCTTTCTCCCTTCCATCTTCTCCACCTTTCTACCATCCTCCATCACCACACAACTTTTTAAAAAAATTCTACAATATTTTACTAGGTTACACTCTTTGATTCTTCCATCTTCTTTGAAAATCGAATTTGCATCTTGATTCATATTCAAAAACAAAATCGATTTCAAGGGAACAAAAAAATAAATTAACTTCTTTCAAATGGAAAAACTGATTTACATTCTTACCTTCTCCATTGAAAATTAAATTGATTTCAAGGAATAAAAAAGAAATAAAGAACAACCTCCAATGAAAAAAAAAAAGAAATTTATTTTACATATCCTTCATGTAAATCCCAATCGTAGTAGCACAAGAAATCATCTTCTTTTAAATGTCATATAAAAACTTTTTGATTTGGTATGATTTTCCTTATTCTCCAAAACGTATTTTACTTTGTGAACTAACCTACGTTCTTGCCTTTTTGATGGAGAAGAACAGATGAAGGGGAAGGAGGCGCAAGAAGAAGAAGAAAAGAGGTGGGGGCATGGAGTTTGGGATCTGGAAAAAAGAAAAAAGAAAGTAAAATTGAGATTTTTAAAAATAAAATAAAATTTCCACGTGTCACATACCAATTAGTTTATTTTTCCACATAAGAGTCGTCTGGATGTACGCACTTAAAATGTGGTTTTGAAAATATAAAAAGTGTCAAAATGACACAATGAGGTTTGACATGAGGTGCTTAAAATGAACAAAGCCTAGTTAAAATGTCCAAGTGAAAGTTGGTGCCAAGTTTAGGGGGCCACCGATGGGTTAGCCCTATAAAGTGGGACGTAAAAAATATTACAATCACTATCTTATTTATTACTTTTGGTAAACTAAACCTTTCTTTTAGATTGGTTGCCATTACTAAAAGTGTTTTTTTTTTTTTTTTTGAGAAAAAATAATTGTGAAAGAAAGTAGTAATAAAAGTGGGAGTTAGTAACTTTGATGGTCACTCAACTATCAACTATTTTCACAGAAAGTCACTCAACTTTCATTTTCAATTCAAAAGTCACTCAA